CCTCAGGTGATCCACCCACCTCGGCTTTCCAAAGTTCTAGGATTACAGGCATGAGCCACCATGCCCGGTCCATCCTATTTTTAAGGAATCAGTTCAGTGACATTAAGTATATTTATTTATTGTGCAGCCATTGCCACCATTTATTTCCAGAACTTTTTCATCTTCCCCAGCTTAAACTTGGTACCCATTAAACAATGACTTCGAATTTCCCCTCCTCCTCAGTTCCTGGCAACCACCATTCTACTTCCTATGAATTTGACCACTCTAGGTACTCATCTAAGAGGAATCATACAGTATCCTTTCGTGACTGGCTTATTTCACTTAACAAATCAATGTCCTTAAGGTCCATCTATGTTGTAGTGTGTGTTAGAATTTCCTTCCTTTTTGAGACACTGTGTGTTTATACCACACTGTGTTTATCCATTATCTATCTATGGACTCTTGGGATGTTTCCACCTTTTGACTATTGTGAATAATGTTACTATGACCATGGGTGTGCAAACATCTCTCCAAGTTCCTGCTTTCAATTCTTTTGTTTTCCACGCAATTTTTAAGTGGTAAAACTGAGTACTAGTGTTTATTTTATATGTGAGGAAAAAACACCTTTAGAAATATTTGGAAAACATTTCAATACTAATAGGTAGCAAAGCAAGTGCATAAGACAGTAGAAAGAATAGACTCATCTCTGCGACTTCCCTTTGTGACCTTGTAAGAGTCATTTGTGCTCTGGTTTCCTCATTTGCAAAATAAAAACCTCTAGTTATAATTATGTGATTATTAAGTCTCCTTTCCAGTTCTAAAATTCCATGGTTTAATGGCTCCAGTCGACTCAGTACATCAATTCACCAAATCTTATGAGATACTTCATGACGGTCCAGGGCCAGAGTCCAAGTTTGATGGACTTTTTAAATTTAAGTTTACTTTTTAAATTCAGAAATATTTTTGCTCAGATGTAGGGAAGAGGAAACTAATAAGAAATTCATTTGAAAAGCAACTTGTTTTCTTTCTTTCTTTTTTTTTTTGAGACGAAGTCTTACTCTGTCACCCAGGCCAGAATACTGTGGCACAATCTCGGCTCACGGCAACCTCTTCCTTTTGGGTTCAAGCAATTTTCTGCCTCAGCTTCCCGAGTAGTTGGGATTACAGACGCCCACCACCATACCCAACTAATTTTTCCTTTTTTAAAAAATTTTTAGTAGAGACAGGGTTTCAGCATCTTGGCCAGGCTGGTCTTGAACTCCTGACCTCGTGATCCACCCGCCTCAGCCTCCCAAAGTGCTGGGAGTACAGGCGTGAGCCACCGTGCCTGGCCCAACTTGGGTTTTTCAAAAGAAGTAATT